TGGTGACCTTCATTGTCAGTCTGGATATAGCCGCGCTTCAAACATCATCGTACAGCGAGATACAGTGGAGCGAACTTCACTGATCGCTGCCTATCCCGATCTGGTTCTCGACAAAGTTCCGTGGCTTAGGCTCCTGGTTACCACCACTAAACAGTGGGTCTTCGTGACCATCGGGTTCCCTCCGTCTGCTGTTCATCACGCCTAGGTGTGTAATAAAAAAGGCAAAGAAAAAGAACTTCTATGGTCAACACACAATATAACTCTGCATATATACCTTTTCAAACATTCTAACCTGATAAGAAAAGATAGCAAAACGCCGCTGCCATTGGTTTGTCGCCATATCCTTCAGTAACTTTAACCAGCCAGTTGCAGTTTTTCGGACCCCAACTTGGAAGATGGGAGACACCGATTTTACCTAATCGCTCTGTGCATTTCTTCATGCCTCACTTCCACGTCATCTGTTGACCTCCGTGCGGTTTCTTCCAACCTGGAGCCGCAACTGAGAATAGGGCGCTGTGCGGTAGACGATGACTGGGAATGCGCAATGCGCGTCCTAACCAACGAAGGCAATTAATCTGATGGCTTGGTGGCGCAGTGGTTTAGTCGCTGTCACCGGCGTGTTTTGGACCCTGTGGTCCGAGGTTTGAGACCCACCACCGCCACCCGAATTTGGTGGTAGGTCGCTCTGCTGTCGTCCGGTTCAATACCACGCCTAACTTATGGGGGCCCCATATGGTTCGCCACTCCGAGTCCCAGGGCTTAGGTTGCCGGTTTCCACCACTGAACAGCTGGTCCTCGTGACTATGGGGTTCGCCCCGTCTGCTGCTCATCACACGTGGGTGTTAAATTAAAAAAAAAAACGAATTGTCCATCGAACCATTACCAAATACCTTACTTACCTCAGAGTTGCTCGCTCAGAGAGCTTACTCCATCTAACCCACGCCAAACTACGTAAACATCTGCAGTCGAAGACTTCTAGACAACGAATATCTTGCGCAAATTTAGGATTTCGCAACCATAGAGCAGAATTGACCGCACAATGGCGCAGTATACACGAACTTCCAGTTCCAATCCTCCGTGAGATGCTCGAGCCTTGGAAATGCGGGCGGTTACTTCCTTGACTACGCCACCGTCATTTGTCGCTCAGCTACCCTGAGTAGGTAAAACATTAAACTACAGCTAATTCTTGTCCATGAAGCGTTATAACCGGGGTAGACGGCAACAGTCTTGCATCATCACTTTGCAATTTAAAAGTGCAAAGCGCATACCGAAAAGAGCGACAGAATTTGAAAGTCTGTCAAGAACGCTTTGTGCATTCTCCATAGATTCTATATCATCAACGTACTCTAAATCGCACAGCTTTTCTCCAGCTGCCCATTCAATACCTACGTTCTGGAGACCAGTAAGTGCGTTCTCCAGTACTTCGTCTACGACGACATTTTACAGGAATAGCGAATTACGGCACCTTTGACGAACACCGCTCCTGGTTTCGAATAATTTACTTGGTCCACCATAGATCTTTACGCTACCAGAAGTATGCAGGTACGGCGAACACAATAGGTTTACATACTTCTGCGGCATTCCTTTGCGGAGCAGCAACCCCAGAAGAGCTTGGCGGTCAACTGAGTCGAAGGCTCCTTTTAGGTCAAGGATTGTTGGCCGACGATGTGTGTGGTACAGTTCGAGGACTTGACGCAGAGTGAAGGTTTGGTGGGAATCCGGCTTGCTGTTCGCGGATATTCCTCTCCCTTAAGGGTGTCAGGCGGCGAAGTATCACAAAAGTCAACACTTTTGTGATTATTGGAACTAAACTAATCCCACGGTGGTTAGCGCAGTCTTTGCGTGACCCCTTCTTAAAGATGGGGATGACCAACGATTCACCCCAGAACAAAGGGCTATGCTCCTCTGACGAAATGCTGCAAAGTAAGCTAGTAATCGAGTCGACAAGAGAATCACCGCCCACCTTGAAAAGAATAGGGAGAAGCCCATCAGGTCCCGCAGCCTTCCCTTTCTTTAACGATTGAATGC